GAAATTGTTCTGTAGGTTTTCCAGAAGCAGCAAATGAATGAAAAACCTACACACACACCAGATGTGATCTGGTTTGTTTCAGAAAGTACTTTTTTTTCAAGGCATCAGAAGTAAAAAAATGTAAAATGGCAATTTTTTTAAAAATAGCATTTTTATTAATTATGAAATACAATTAAAGATACATGAATAAAAGACAAAATAATATTTAATCCTCCAAATGGCAATTATTAAGTGGTAATAGCAGCCAGAGCACAACATTATTGTCTTGTGTACAGTATCAAGTTTGGGAGATTAAAACTAGGTTTTGTGAACCTGCTGTGACTTTGTTGTTGTCGTTTACCATCCAGTGAGAACCGACTCACAGCTGGCCCTCCGGTCGGTTTTCAGAGGCGGTGAATCTCACAGGAGACTGCCCACCCTTTTCCCGCAGAGCTGCTGATGGATCCCAGCAGTGTGCTCTTGGGTTGGCAGACCGAAGCATATCCTGATCTTAATTTTACACAGTGACTCTGACTTTTTAGCTAGCCTTTCTGATCTCTGATTTCTATACAATATGTCGGCAAGCAGGAAATAGCTCCATTACCGCCTGTGTTTATTTCTTCCTTGTTGTTTGTTCTTCTTGATTGCCTTCGAGCCAAGCACGACTCATAGAGACCCTATGAACAGGAGGCCTGAAGCCTTTCTATAACTATCGACATTTCTTTTTCTCAGTCACTGGGCAAACCTAAAGAAAGCCATTTCCCCCTTGGTTATGGTTGTATTAACAGTATCACAGAAGTAAATTTCATTTCTTTGATACAGTGCACTTTTAAATTCCTAGAGCAGAAACTGTATCTTTGTAAGAGAGTCTAAAATCAAAGGTTTGTGTGTAGAAAAAGTGGTCTAAAATCAGAGTTGTACTCCATTTTAAAGTTTTGACCAAGTGTAGAATCCATGTTAGATTTCTAAAAGCTTCCCCTTCAACATTAGTGCTGAGTGTTGGGTCTTAGACCTCAAGGATACTGTTTCTTTTTTTCTGAAGTATGGTATGTGCAGGGTACCTAATCCATTCTCAAAGGGTCTTTGTCTTTTTTTTTTTCTTTTTTAAATTCTTAACTCTCCACTCCCCCTTGTTATGTACCGTTGAATCACATCCGACTGGCACAGAGGAGATTGCCCCTCCTTCTCCAGCAGAGCACCTGGTGCATTCAAACCACATGCCTTTGGGATTGCAGCACAACTTCTTGCCACTAGGCCACCAGAGTTCCTGGGTCTTTGTCTTTATAGACAAACAGATGCAAGATACGATCTTGAGATACAGCACTTTCTCTTGGTAAAGATATATCTTTACAATGGACCTCCAGAAACAGACAAGATTGAAGAACAGGTTACCAGAAAAACTGGTCCTGTTCAACATGCTGGGACCACTGTGTAATAAACTCAATGGCATGCACCTTTTCCCCTTTCTAATTAATATTTTTATTATTCATATACATTGTCTTTCATCCAATCTTTCATTTCTATTTCGTTCCTTTATATTGTGGGGTTCCCCCCCTTACAATCATCTTACTAATTACTACTTTCAAGAATGTGTGTAAGCCAACTACTTCATGCCTCCTGCCCGAATATCCCCCTTTTTAGATAGTCATTTCTGATTTGTTCATCCCCCTCAAGCCAGTACTCTGAGGGAACAGGCAGCTCCCTTTTGCTGAAGAATCCTCTGTTCAACTTGGAAACTACTTAGCATCCTCATCTACAAATAAAGTCCATTCCAGAGCAAGCAATAAGGTTGCAGCAATTGTGGACTTCCAGTAAATTATTAATTTTGTAATCTTTAGTCCCCACTTCCACAATATAGGAATATATTCCTTCCTTTGCTCAGGTGCCACAACCATTTTCACTCTGTAACAAAGGGCATTTCTCCAGTGTGGACCATCTCCATCCCTGAAAAAACTTCACTTGCTTTTACAGTATTGAGTGGTGCTAATAAGTGTACAAATTAGAGTCAAACAGACCCGAGCTTAATCCTAGTTCCACCACAAGGTGGAGTGGCAATATAAGAAAGTAACCAAAAAAAAAAAAAAAAAAGTAACCAACCAAAAAGCTCTTGTATCTTCTCACAGAGTTGGTGTGAGGATCACGTGAGAACATACACATATGGCACTGATCTCAGTGTGCTCTGCAGCAGAAAGATGGATTCAAACTGCCTACTTCTGGGTGCAAATACAAGTCCTTATCCACTAGGCCACCCGAGCTGTCTTCTGCTGGAGAAAGATGGGCAATTTTCCCCCATGCTATTTACAGCCTCGGAAAACCCACTGGAGGGTCAAGTATGAGCCAGCTGAAGTGACAGCACACAACAACAACAACCCCAATGCTGGAGAAAAGAGTTCTAATTATTCCATAATCTAGAATAAATGTGGAGAAAAATAGCAAAGGCCATCTCTTTGCTAAACTACTCCTAGTTTGAGCTTCCTCTGCCATTACTACTGGATGCTTCTTTTTCAGAGCTATTTTTTTCTCCCAGGCACCAATGAAGCAGGGTTAAGAAATATTAACAGGCACAGAAAGCCAAAGCTGAGAAGAAATAAACAAGGAAATTTGCTGAGAATGAGAAAGAAATCAGTCAGGGAGTGAGTGGTATAGGGAAACAGGAGTGCAGATAATTAATGTTTCTGGTTTGTGCATTTTTTCCTGTCTCCTCTAAGAAAGAGGGGTGCTGGTAGCACAATGGTTAAGTGCCCAGCTTCTAACCTGAAGATCAGTGGTTCACACCCACCAGTAGCTCCACAAAAGACATCACAATCTGCCCCCGTAAAGACTGTTGTTGTTGTGTACTGCTGAGTCAGAACAGACTCATAGCTGACCCTCCTGAGGCAGTAAATTTCACTGGAGGAGACTGCCTATATTTTTGCAACAGAAGAGAGCTCAGGTGGCCTAGTGGGTAAGGAGTTGTACTGTTAAATCAAAAGTCAGTAGTTTGAATCCATCTTTCTCCTACAGAGCACACTAGGAATAGTGCTCTAGGGAGCTATTCTATGTCATCTAAGGTCACTATGAGTTGGGTATTCACTCCTTTGAGGCAAGGATGGTGAAGGCAAGGATGTCTCATATACTTTGGGCATGTTGTCAGGAGGCAAGTCTTGGAAAATTATGCTTGGAAAAATTGAGGGTCAATATATATAGAGAGACCCTCAAGGAGATGGACTGGCACAGTGATTGCAGCAATGGGCTTAAGCCTAGTAGAGATTGTCGGATAGGGCAGGTTAGAGCGAGGTTTCAATCTGCTATACAGTGGGTGGCTATCTAAGAGCTGGAGCTGACAAGAAGGCACCTAACAACAACAATAATGACTTGGAATCAACTGAGGAATCTAGAAGGAAGTGCTAGGGACAAAAGTACCATCTAATGTTTAGCAACAGTATTTACAAGATGCTTTCACATAAGTTGATCAATTTTCTATACACCTCAGCTGATTATCTCCTGCTAGAACTGTTGTCAAACAGATTTCCCTTTTGGGGCATATGAAGATGTGCACAAAAAAGGATCTTTAGACATCTTATCACAGTGTTTCATTAAACCAGTCAACTGCTTCTTGTTTTAGTGCTGTATCACCTTTTTTCTACAGACTATCTAATAAAGACTTAAAGGTAATATTTATGGATACCATGACAAAAAAAAGTTCATTTAAATCACTGATTTCAAGCAATGTTCAATAAGACATCAAACAATAAATACGGGTGAGGGTGTGAAGAGACTGGAACTTTCATATCCTGTTATCGAGAATGTAAAACAGTATCATCATTATGGAAAGCAGTTTGGTGCTTCCTTAAAAAGATGAAAATGGAAATGGCATTCGCTCCAGTAATCTCACTACTCAGTATATATTCTAAAGAAATATTAGCGGTGACATGAACAGATAGATACACAGATATGTTTACGGCTGCATTATTTACAAGAGCAAAGAGATGGAAATAAACCAAGTATCCACAAATAAATGAATGGCCACAGAAACTGGGGTGCAGACACACAGTGGAGAACTATGCATCACTAAAATATGATCAAAATTTGTGAAATAATGCATAATATGGACGAAACTAGAACAAATGATGTTGAATGTTATAAGTCAATCACAATTATTGTATAAGGCAATTAACATCAAAAGCTAAAGAAAAAAGTTTACACACAGAATCAATCTTAGCTCACAGGGATGAGACGGTAAAGAGGGGTGCAAAAAGCTGAGTGAAAGGAAAGGCAATACACAATAAGGGTTTGATGAGGCACCATGATTAATTACATTAATCAATTAAAATGTTATGAGAGAACATCTGCATGAACGACTGAATAAAAAACCAATATGATTTATCTAACAAATTTGATTTAAAAAGTCCAAATTAAACATGTTGCTGTTGTTTTGCTGTTGCCTTTGAGTCAGTGTGGACTCGGCTGCCCGTCCAGCAGGCCTCCAGAAGCGGTAAATCGGGAGCTCTGGTGGCCTAGTGGCAAGAAGCTGCACTGCAATACCGGCGGTATGTGGTTCGAATCCACCAGATGCTCTGCTGGGGAAGAAGGGGCAATGTCCTCCTGTACCAGTCAGATCTGATTTGACGGTACACACACAAAAAACAAGAAAATAATAATAATAAAAGAAGCAGTAAATCATACAGGAACCTGCCTATCTTTCTCCCAGGGAACAGCTGGTGAATTTGAACCAAAGGCCTTAAATAAAACCGACAGCAGACAATTACAAAAACCAGTAAAAAAAGTACTGATTTCAACTTGTTTCTCTTTTGTGGATAAGTGATACGTAACAGATTTGTTGTTGTTGTTGTTAAGTACTGTCGACTCATAGCGACCCTATGAACGAAAATCCTCGACACTTGCAAGGCTTTCATCCTTTCTCCAGGTTCACAGGGTTTCCGGAGGCAAGTAAATTCAATTACATTTTTTTTCATTACAGTTTTAAGAAAGCATACTTACTTTCCAAACCTCAACACGCCTGAAACGTAAGTCTGCCAGTGAGCACAGTAAAAGAGGAACATTCCAATAAATGAGCAGAAAAACAGCCAGTCAGGATGAGTTCCCAAGCGGACAGCAACTGACGCTCCGATGGCCATAAACACTGGAAGACACAGGGTGTAGGATCCGCTCAGAATGTAACCACATTAGTGACATATTTGTACCGTGGAGAAACAGAATTTTAAAGAAAAGGCACTACTATAAAGTACACTTTTAAGAATAAGTAAACGCTTGAATATGTTTTTTAGACACACTGTACAAAATTGTTCCAAGATGTTACACCGATAACTGGGAAAGGCAATAGAGACTAAACGGATGATCAGACACTGTGGGTATTGTGATTAATAAAATATACAACTGCATATGTAAAACATATGTAATTATTGTTATAAAACAAAATTTGTATCAGCGATTGACTGAAAAAACAGTATGCTTTGTGAACTTCCACTCAAATCACAATTAAAAAAGTGATTTACAAAAACCCCCCCTTAGTTTTAGTTTTTAAGCTATCAGTACAACAAATACTAGTGCAAAAATTGCACTCACTTACCTGTGGAAAGGGAGTCACATCCATGATCAAAGAGTTCCCCTAAAGGAGAACAAGAATTTGTTCTTCGGGCTTGTTTCCCATCGATGGCATCTAGCGACTGATAGATAAAGAGTCCCAGGGCACAAAGAAGGTATGTCCAGTACGGTGCCTAAAAGTATAATGGAGACACAGACCGTGAGGTGGAAGAGAACACACCTCAGCCTCTCAGGATCTAGTGGCAGGTTCTCTCGTTTCCCATGCAATTCACAGCCTCTGAAAACCCACTGGAAGGTCGGTCACTCAAGAGTTGGTTATGACTCGACAGCAATGAGTTTGATTTTGAGATGTAGAAGAGATTTAACAAGCAAGCAGAGATAGGGGAAGAGAGGTGCCAAACTCCATGAAGACAGCTCAACAACATAGGCCCAAGAAAGACTAGGGCCCTTCTCAGAGATAACAGAGAATGAGCACCTTTCTCAGGAGCCATCACCCTGAACTGACACTGCAGCAGAGTAAATTTCTTTTCTCTTAAGGTGACCCACCTGTGAAATTCCTGTTAAAGCAGCACTAGGTAACTAACAACTCACTGCAAAGCACATGTGTGCTAAAGTGCTGGAAACCAATGATAAAGAGAATAAATAAGTTGGAGGAGGGAAGAAATAAACATACAAAAGCACAAAGAAGCAAAACAAAACAAACCCCCCTCCACTCCTGAGGAGTTCAACTCAACACCAGGACCCTCCATCAGGCTTCTGAGGCTGGAAGTCTTTATAGGTGAGGACATAGCTTTCTCCTAAGGAGCATCTGGTGGATTCAAACTTCTGACCTTTAGGTTAGCAGCGTATAAAGCACTACACACATGCCACAAAATAATGGGGTAAAAGCTATATAAAGACATTTCAGTGCTCACTTCGGCAGCACAATACTAAAATTGGAACGATACAGAGAAGATCAGCAAGAAGTGTTCCATAAGAAAGAAACAATTAAAAAAAAATACATTTCAGACAAACAAAAGATGAAATAATTCAACACAAGAACTGTTGTACAAGAAATGTTAAATGAAGACAGAAGAAAATGATACAGATGAGAATTCAGATTAATACAATGAAGCATGCCAGAAGCAGTAAATATGTGGATAAATAGAAGGCAATTTTTACTTTAAAAAACCTTTAAAAGGTAACCATGTAAAGAAAAAATGGAAACAAAAGATTGTGGGATTTATGAAAAAGCCCAATGTGCAACAACAGTAGCACTAAAGATAATAAAGAAGACAAGGAAATAAACTGTGGGGAAGTTTCTATAATGCATGGCATGGTAACGGTACACTCTAACAAATTATCACGATACATTGAAGATTCTAGTGTAAATATTAAAATGGAACTGAAACTAAATGTGATTGAGAAGTGGTTGTTTTTACAATACTTGGGAAATCATAGAGGAGCTGAGGCAAGCAGCCCCATAACGCTTGAGGTAGAGATTGTGAAACTGTATCTCACATACTTTGGGGAATGCTGTCAGAAGGGGCCAGTCCTTGGAAAGGAGGAGGGTCAGAGAAAGAGAGGGAGACCCTTAAAAAGGTGGTTTGACACAGTGACTGTAACAATGGATTTAAGCCTGTCAGAGATTAGGAGGCTGGCGCAGGACAGCGCAAGGTTCAGATCTGCTGAGTCTGCTGGACAGCACTCAATAACAAGCAGCACGTCCCAACTATGAGCCGCACAGATCCGACGGCACACTGAGAACTGAGAACCGAATGAAGATACAGATCACCAGTGAGGTCTCAAACCAGCAATAGGTGGGTGAAGCCCAGAGGGGCAGACCCAAAGAGCACCGCAAAACTCAGAAAAGGAAACCGGCATTACAACCACTAGTCACAGGAAGCTGGTCAGAACTTGTGGCTTAAACGGAATTGAATGCCAACTGAAGAAAAATAACATTCTCTATCAGATATAAATAAAATCCAAAGCCTTATAACAAAATATTCAAAATGCCCTGGCTATAAGAATCCAAAATTACTCAAAGTACAATGAATCGGAAAAAAATCTCAACTGGTGCCAATGTTAGCCTCTGACAAGGAAGGTTCAGTGGTGATTATTAAAGAATGTTCCACAAGGAAAAGACAAATTTCTTTGAAATGAATGAGAAGACAAAGTCTCAGGAGAGGCAGAGGATGTGAGGAAGAAACATATAGGAATACTGGATTGAAAATTAAAAGAACCAAACCAAAATCTGAGGATAGGCTTAATCCAAAGGGGAGATAACAGAGGGAAAAGTCACGAAATATAAAGAAGGATCAATAGGAATTAATTAGTAAAAAAAAGTCTCAGGAATCTGTGTTTTGACAGGAAAATTTCTACCATTCAAGTCACTGTAAAAAAGAGTTAAGTGTGTGGTTCAGAAAAAAAAACCCCTGTTTGAAATGGTTAGTAACGCAAAATGCACAAAGTCCAAACTTACAGATTAAAAAAGTTCAGTGAACCCCAAATAGCATAACCCAGAGAAATCCATGCTCTGAGACATATCATAAACAAAGTACTGAAAATACAAAAAACCTGAAGTCTTATAAACAGGGGAAAATAGTATATCATTTGTGGAGGAACCACTCAGATGACTGAACTTCTTACCAGAAGCCATGGTTGCAAGTGGGAAGTGTAGTAAATAACACTTGAAAAATGCTGAAAGGCAAGAATGGTCAACTCTCAATTCTGTCCTGTACAGACAGCAATGCTGCTGTCATGCGACTCCCTGTAAGGCTTTGGACTTGGCTCTGTCACTTTTAAACAGGTGACCTTGGGCAATTTACTGGACCTCTTAAGTCTAGGTAACTTCATTTTTAAGATAGAAACCATACTAATTAGTGTATCCAATAAAAAGACACCTTAGGCTTTTTGCTACCCAGGAAGCATTCAATGAAGGTGGGCAGTTGTTTTGCATTTTCCTACCAAAAAAACCAATGTACGTATGGTTTCGGAGGGAATTCCTAGTCAAAGTCAATGTTTAAAAGAACAACGAAAAACAGTCATCAAGTAGATTCCAACTCAGGCAAACACATGTGTTCCAGACTAGAGTTGCACGTAAGTTTTTCAATGGCCATGGCCTTTAGCAAGTTGCAGATGGTCAGGCCTGCCTTCTGAAGGTCACTGGGTTAAACTGAGAATCACTCAACTGTCAATCCTTCAGTTTGATGCTCAGCATTTAACCATGTGTGACACTCAAGGTCTCCATTTAAAGGAAAAGTAGTTTAAAGGAGATGCAACCTCGGAATAAACGCAACTGGAATTAAGACCATGAATATTAAAATAGTACATTCCATTCTAAAGAGCATAGTTTTAAAGGCTTATCTGGGAACCATGAAGCAATTCAAGAATGAGTAAAAGGCAAAGACATAATAAATAATAAATCATCATTGCAGTATAAAACAAAAACCCCCAACATGGATTCTACACCCCACCCCACTGGCCCGCAAGAATCCCTAAGCTTTACAAACCTTTTCAAATTCTTTCTTTTTCCTACTTTTAAAAAACAAGGCACTCTGGCGGCCTCTTGGGTAGGAAGTTTGCACGATCAAATCCAAAGGCAGGTGACTGGAAGCCACCAGTAGTGTCCAGAAGAAAGATGCTTGGGCCTTCTCTTCCTACACGATTTACAGTTTCTGAAAACCTGCTGCTGGGTGCTGGGTCTATCAATCTGTCTGTCCTGGGTCGATGGCAATGTTTACTGCATCACTATTTATTGCTCATCTGGTCCTGATCTTTAGTGTTGACTGCTTCACACCTATTCTCACAATGATTTTTAAATTCTGGTAGGATAGAATCAAGACCATATTTTGGTTTTTGTGGACTTGTGTAAATTAATACTTGCATATATTTTTTTTTCCCCAGCCGTGTCAGAGGCAGTGTGATTGGTACAAGACAGGGCAGGATTTAGGGCTGTTGTACGTAGGGTCACTATGTGTCGCAAGCGACTCAACAGCACATAACAACAACAACAACAATCTGAACATGAATAATTGCTGGTCTGTCTGTTCCAAAGTCAGTACCTGGCCTGGTTTTGACTGCTAATATTGAGGTTCTCCAATGATTTCTTTCACAGATGTGGTCCATTTTGTCACAGATATGATTCCTATTGTAGTACACCTGGTGAGGTCCACGTGTAAAGTTGCTGTTTGTGCTTTTATAAAAAGGTATTTGTGATGAAATCATTTCCTGTGCAAAATTTGATCATTCCATTTCTGGCCTCATTTCTGTCATCAAGTCTATACTTTCCAAGGACCATTCCTTCTTCAATGTTTCCAACTTCCGCATTCTAGTCACCAATTACCGCTAACGCATCTTGCTTGCATCCTTGGTCAATATGGGACTGCAAAACTTGTTAAAAATCTTCAATTGCTATCCTTGTATGCATATGGATATTATCCTATCATTCACAACACTGTACTTCAGGATACACTTTCTAACTATCTTTGTTTTTTAATTGGTGCACATTTTCCTCCATACCCCACCCCAGCTCACTTTTTTTTTTTTTTAATTTTATTATTTTTGTGTAAGTGTACCATCAAATCAGATCTGACTGGTACAGGAGGAGATTGTCCCTCCTTCCCCGGCAGAGCATCTGGTGGATTTGAACTGTGCGCCTCTGGGATTGTAGTTGCAGATCCTTGCCACTAGGCCACCAGAGCTCCCCCCCAGTTCACTTTAAAAAAAAAATAATAGTCATTCATTGTTACATAATTTCTTCCCTCCCCCTGTAATTGTCTTTTAAACTATGAATGCAACACCGTTCTGTTCTTCATTCTGAATACAGTATAACATGTCTGATTCAACATGAACAAAGCCTTTCTATCTCACCTCACTAATGCCTTAGAGTGCTGTTGATTCCATTTCATTTCTCGCAATTTCTAGTTTTCCAACATTCGTACTTCATGCAGTCTATGCTCTATCTATTAAAGGATGTCTGCAGTTGTTTATCCTCATTTTAACTAACAACCTCTAATATAACCAGCCGTGTTCTTCTATTGTTCATAGGGTTTTCAGAGACCTGCTGTATCAGACATAGATGGCCAATCCTGCTTTAGTCTTAATCTGGGAGTTTTCTATAAAAGCCTGTCTATCGGGGTGATCATTGTGGCATTTGACACAGCAATGATTTCCACAGTTAAAAACACATGCC